GGGGGGGGGGGGGGGGATAATGGCTGGGCAGCCAGGGCTGATCATCTTGTCTCTCACCCCACCTACTCTGCCTCTTGCCCAGAGCCATAGCGAAAATGTCTCTAAAAGGCTAAGATCAAAATATAACGTGACGTATTAAAGTGCTGGAAGGAATAGCTAGAGCAAATGAATGCCTGCTCTTAAGCCATGGTAATTCTGTCGGTATTAATAAGTGTTTGAATTTGAATGTATTAGTAGCAGGAACTGCACTGAGAAATGAAACCACAGCCAATCAAATCTTTTATATTTCCAAAGTTTTTATTAATGTATTCTAGTCTTAAAAAGTAGCTCAAAACCTATACCTCAAAGAATTTTTATAATGCAAAGTCGTCTGTTCTTTATACTCAGTGTTTCTTAGTTTTGGAGTGATTGATGTGGTCTGATATTGGGTATAGCTTACATAACTTACAAGGTGATTCACATAGTTTAATAATGCCTTTTTATAAACTCAGATATTCTAGTGAAAATATTCTTCCCCAAATGTATTTACCATAGTCCTGTACAGTACTCCTTGAACCCGTAGAACCTCGATTAATCTGAAGAGTTTGCCAGGACTATGCAGTACTGCGCACGAGAGAAAACATACACTTTTATAAGGAACTACAGCTTGTGTTCCATTTGATGACGCTCTGTATTCTCTGGTCTCCAAATAACACTGAGAAATAGCCTTGTACATACCTCCAATGGTCATTATCTTCAAAGAAACAACCCCTTTGATAATTAAGCTTTCATTTCTCTGTGTGCTGCTTTAATCTCACTTGTTTAAAGAAAAGTCTTGGGGACTTGTTTTCAAAGCTTCCAAACAAATCCTTATTTCACACAGGCCACAGTCCATTCATGGCTCCGTATATCCCAAGGATACTATTTATAAATGCCAGTTAAGTTTCTTTTTCTCACTGTGCTAATCTACTGTCTAATTGTCTTTGCTATGGGTCACGTGACTCCTCCCGCCCATAACACACGCACTTAAAATTCTCACTTCCTGATTGAGCCATCAAGATTACATAAAGTGTAAATCAGCCTAAATAGCTAGGAGCAGAAAATTTCTGAGGAAAAAAATCTGTGCTCTTGTTTTGATAATAAGTCCTGAATGTGTGGCTTCCTGGCTGAGAGACTGTTAGGCTTGGTTGTTGGTTTTTGTTTTTTTTTTTTTTCATCCCTTCCCTTTGAGATTGAATCAAACTTTGCTTTCATTATAACAAGGTAACATGCCAACCAGATAGGCGCTGTGGGGGTGGCTCCGATGGAGGAAACCAAAACGGTTCTGATTAGCAAGAGAGCCACCCAGTTCTTCATGACCCAAACGAAGAGCCCTGCAACTCTCTGTCTCTGAAGGTACCGATTTCATGTTTCTGAGGTGTGCTTGACCGTGTAGCCTTTGCTGGGCTTCATTTCTGGCTGGCAGGGTTATACTTGTTTACCTGGGATCTTAAATCTATCACATTTCCTCATGGGAGGCTCGGAGATTGCGTGGCACAACAACTTGATGTGTGGGGCCTTTCGGCCATTCTTCAGCCTGGCTTTATGTTATTAACTGGTGTTTTTCTGTTTACCCCTCTCTGAGAAACCGTTGTGTCTTCTCAGCCTCTGTTGCTGTGGTTAAGGGCTTGATGCTTACACCTTTTTAGCAAAGGAACCAGGATAGTTCTCAGTAGGCATCACAGAAGTTAATTGTGGGCTTTTAATTACTCTGTAAAACAGCACAAGTGTTACGGATTCTGGATCTAATTTTATTTCAAGAGGGTGAGGTACAGGACATTTTCTCACAGATGTAGTTGCAATAGGATTCCAGTTACAACTCTTCTTTGCTTTAATAGATTCAAATTGAGGCAGGTGAAAGAAAAGTGTATCAGACTTAGAAGAGGCAATTCTTCACTTACACGGGTAGCACTGAGACACGGCACCGGTAGTGTGTTCAGAGCACAGTACTCCATGAAATACGTCAATACCGTGAAATAAAAACTATCAGAAAGTTTGTGGGGAGTTCCATGCACATAGGAATGAGGCCACAGCTTGAGTGAAGCTCTCGAGAGATGGAAATTCTCCCCAATATGGCGGTGGTGAACTAGGAAGCCAGTCTCTTGAGTGGAAAGTGAGCCAGCAGGACTGGGTTTGTATGTTGGGATTTGCAATCTGATGTCTCATGCCTTTGCTTTCCTGTGAGAATGACCAGAAAGCCAAGGCATTTCCTGATGGTCCCGTGTGAGCATTGTGGGTACGATGCTAATGCCACTGTCCTGGCTGTGCTGTGGTGTTTGTTCACCCGTGGGTTGTGCGAGGCAGCTGGAGCAGCGTGTGCAGCCAACAGCAGCAGAGGTGCTAATGCACGGCCAGTGATGTCAGGAGTTACGAGACCGTGGTTTCAAAACACTGCAGTAAACAAGGTCAAAGTGTCCCCTTTTGTTGGAAAGGAGTCTGTTTTCATGAGTTGGACAGTGCATGGATGAAGTAATTTTCCAAACAAACGTCACATTTATATGTATGTTTCTTTTTTCTTTTCTGGATTAAAAAGAAACAAATTATCCAGATGAGATTTGTTACTGGTTATATTACAACGATTTCTCTTATTTTTCTATTTTTAATGAAGGAAATAATCTATTTTATGTTTGCTTTTAAAAATACAGTTCTGTTAACTTTTTGAGAATTTCATACATGCATATAATATGTTTTATTCATATTTATTCCCTGCTTCTCCCAATAACTCCTTCCAGTTCAATTTCCCACCCCTCTATAACACACCTCAGCTTCATGTCTTATGGTCAAAGAATTTGAAATATGTGGTAGATTTCAAATCATGGTAGGTTGCAGACACAGTCAGTAACAACATGGTTCTTCTAGTCTTCTCCTTTGATTTTTTTTTTTTTCACCTGGATATTTGTTTAAGCTAAAGAAAGTAAATGGTGCAGAATACCAAGACTGCATGGCTCCTGCCTTAGGCGTTTTCCAACTTTGAACCTGAGAATGCCAGGGAGTGGAGGCTCAGGCTGTTACACTGGCCTCAGGGTACTGGAGGTAACAAGTGGGTGTCGTTCCTTCAGGGTATGTGTGTATGTCTGTGTAGTAACAACAGTGGAGCCACGTGGCATCCAGAGGTCATCTCAGTCTGCCCTGGGGAATCCTTGTTCTCAAAAGTGTCTTCAGTAACTCTGAGATGAACTGTGAACTTGAGGCACTGCTAGAAGCTCGGGTGCTTTTGGTGTTCCACAGCAAAGCTGGGTGTGTTAGCACACACAGAGCTTTTAAAGTGAAACCAGGGCCTTGAGGAACCAGTTGCCAGCAGCCAGCCCAGCACACAACCTGCTTGCAGCTGGAGAGCGAAGTAAGTTGGGTTATTTTGTTTTGGTTTGGTTTTTCAGTCAGTCTCTTAGTGGTTTACCTCGTTAACATCGTTAGATGTTCGATACCTGATAAGGGCTAAATATTGGAAGTGGGAAATGTTACAGCTAATTGCTGCTTTAGTCATTTCTGCCTCTCCATGTCTAAAAGGCCGGCTTGCTTTAGAGACTGGGGAGTATTATCAAGAAGAAAAGAGGCTCGGTTGGTCACTCCCCACCCCTTGGCTCTTCACTCAGTTAAGTGGCAGTGACAGACAGACTTTTCTGTGCGTCTGTGCGGCAGCCAGGAGCTCCTTCAGCAAAACAGCCCAGTTCACTGCCTGATTCCTATGGGAAGCAGGCAAGATGTGTGTCCTCAGGGCAGGTGTACTGGCAGAGTGTCTCCCTGACCCCTCAGAGGGAATTGTGCAGAAACCAGTGCGGAGAATTTTAAAATCTGTAAGGAAATGGAAAGTTGTAAGAGACATATAGTACTTAACGATGTTTTAAAAAATTAAAGTTAGGATAAAGTGGATAGAGCGCTGGTCTGTCAATAGAAATGACTTTTTCTCTGTTAGGAGGTTCTGTACCTTGTAGATTTGGAGCGAATGTGGATTTTAGCCTTTGGAGTACAAAGAGGTGTCAGTCACCTATGTAGGAGCCTGTGACGGTAGCTTAATTCTACAGTGGGCCTATATCTTTGATCCTGGTGGATTGAATCTGTCTCTAGAGGTGGATTGGTTCAATTTTAAATCGGAGTCCTTTGGGTTTGACATTGCAAGCAGAACACAGAGCTGCTGAGTGGTTTGTGATTTGTAATGAAATCCTTTCTTTATAAAGGGAACTGCTGGTGCTGTAGAATGCTCTTAACTGTTTCTCTATCCAAATGGTGCTTTGAGGGTAGAAGGATAGGCAGCGTGGCTGTGGCATATGGCAGGGATTAAGTTAGTGCCAGTATCACAGAACTCCCTTTTCACCTCAGAGTTTTGGTGGTAGGACTAAGATAAGCTGATGTCCCTCTCAGACAGTCCAGGCCCCCACTCCCCCACCCTGTATAAATATCTGAGGACTACTAATTCAGCAAAAAAGTTTTTAAGTATTTTCCTTAAGATAGCAACATGATGGAAATTATGATTTTATTAGTTCCGTTTACAGAGCTTCAGTCTGTAAATTAAAGATGGGAGCATGTTGAAGGGTGAGCCAGCAGAACATTCCCATTGAACTTTCCTTGTTAAGGATGGTGCCAAACAAGCCTGCCGTTCCCTGGTGAGACGTCCTACCTAATTAAAGGGGAAGGTGGCCGCCATCTGTCCTCTTCCATTCAAGGCAGTGGGGGCCTGGAGTGGAAGGAAGCAAACTCCCCTTTTATTTTCCTCACATTCTTTTTTTTTCTTTTAGTTTTTATAGTCTGCTTTCTCCCTAGTCAGTGACCCAGAAGGCCATTGATGATCTGTCTGTCTCAGTATGAATAGTACTGTAAGCATGCCTGGCACTTGGAAAACAAAGTTCATGGCAGTGCATTTATCCACTTAGAACTCCACTTGAATTATGTCTCAGAATATTGCAGTCTCCACATAGTTGTCTCTGGCCTTCGGATCCTGAAGGAAAAGTGGGAAGTTTTATTTTTATTGATGTTACTTTTTCATGAAAATAGTTTACATTCCACTGGACATAATTAAAAGTTGTTAACATGTGGCTGTGTACAGGGGACGTGCCCTGGGCCCCACCTGTTAGTTACAGTGCATGTATGTTATCTGGGGAGAGCACATGGATAAGGGTGCCAGCAGATGTTTAGTTGCACAGTGGTCTGGCCCTGCGTTCACTGGAGTAATTCATATTGTTTAGCCTTTAGTTAAGCAGTAAGCTTGTTGGTCCCATCCTCATGAAAGTCTGCTCCAAGAGAATTTAGTTTATGCTCATAGTTTGATTGTTTTAGATGTGAGTTATCCTCAACAAAATGATTTCACTTTGTTGCCTCAGTTTCCCTCGTGGTCAGAGAAAGAAATGTGTTTCGCTTTAAGCATTTGAGAGAGTATGAAATAGTGCTTGTTTTTCATACAAACTTTATTGGAACTGAGAATTCTAAATTGTTTAGTCGGTTTTATTTTCAGTTTTTAATACGCTTTGGCAAAATGCTATTAACAGCCATATTAAATTGACCAGTACTGGTTCGAACTTCACAGCCAATACAAGATTTCATACTGTCTGTGTGACATGGAAATGTGATATTTCTTAGCGTTGTGATAATATAGGTGGGGAGCTCAAACATGGGAGTCAGCCCTGGAATCTCACTCACCACTCTTTTCAGATTTCTCACCAACCTGTAATGAGCGTTCTTGGAAGCATGGGTGTGCTTCTGCTCTGTGACATCTGGGGAAGAGGAATGCAGGCATCTACAGAAAAGCATCCGGTTTGCATGTCTGGATTTAGCTGAAAGCATAGGTCCACCAGCGAAAGAAAGGATGGAGCAAGCGTGAGCAGCCAATCCTTGTCATCTCGTAGCACTTTCATGCCTGTTTTTGTTGCCTTATATCATAAGGTAGGATTTTAGATGTTTAGCCATGTACAGTGAGGTTAAAATTCATTTCCCCCTTAGTGTGCATTTTAAGAGGACTAAAATGTGTCTATAAAGTGTGATTATGAGGTAATGTGTTTAGGTTTTTAGGGTATATGTGGCCATATGAATACATGCTTGCACCTATGTGGATAAGTGTGCGTGTGTAGGCCAAGGGTGATGTAGGGTGTCTGCCTTGATCACTCTCCACCTCCGAACATTGAGGTAGGGTTTCTCTCCTGAATTGAGCTTGTCAGTTTTGCTTGTTTATGTAGCTACTTGCTCTAGGGATGCTGTCTCCCCCTCCTGAGTGCCAGGACTATAGGCAGGGGACCCAGCCCAGGCCCCCCCCCCCCCCGCCGCCATTACAGGTGTGCTGGACATCTTTAGGTGGCATGATCTTTACCCACTGAGCCATGCCCTCAGCCCCAAGTGATTAGTATTTCAACTCACATGGCAAGAGACACATGGATAGGTTCATGTGAGTGAGGAAGAGTTCAGACTTTACTAACGGGAGGCCGACTCCCTGGAGCACGTCACTTCCTGCCCGCTGTTGCATTGTGAACCTTTGGGCTTTTTTCCTGTCTGTGGAGCAGTCAGGAGCTGTTTTTGCTAGCACTAG